AAGGTAGAAGATGTGGAATTAAAAATATGTGTGTGCCTTTACTTTAAAGAAAATTCCGAAATAAAAAATGTGTCTGCTCAAATTCCAGTAGTGGGTCATCACCTGATCAGTGCTCCCAAAAACTGTTAAGGTGATCAAAAACAACAAGAGTCTGAGAAACCGTCACAGCCACAAGGAGTCTAAGGAAACACGAAAACTAATTGTAATGTAGTATTCTGGATGGAATCTTGGACTAGAAAAAGACATGAGATAAAAACTAGGAAAAACTAAGATAGATAAAAGCTAAGGAAATCTGAGTAAACTATGCACTTTAGTTCATAATAATGCATCAATATTGGTTCATTAATAGAAACAAATGTTACATACTCATGTAACATGTTAATAATAAACTGGGGGTATGAGGTATATGAGAACTCTCTGTACTATCTTCTCAATTTTTCTGTAAATCTAAAAATGTTCTCAGAAAATCTAATAAGACCAATGTGTTTTTGCCCAATACTAAAATCTTATACAGAGATTAAAACATCTGAGCATTAGCTTATCAGGGATGTGCTGTGAACATTTTTACTTTAAGCTTGAAAAGGTAACAGAAAAAAGTGATTTATCAAATTTAAATAAATTCCTAATAAAATTAAATTGCTCAAATGGCAGAGTTATGATTCTGGGGTTTCTTTTAATTCAAATAGAGTATTATGTAAAGACTCTTGTGATCAAGAGAGACTTGACATCTACAAGAGAAACTTTAACTTCTAAGCTTAAGAAAATTGCTTAGAATCAGAAAAAATTGCTTTTATGAGAAATTGTGCTTGTTTATAAAACATGTTTCTTAAAATTTAAGTCACATCACCAATGCATATTTTTTTCCAACTTTTTTTCCCTTCCCAAAAGCAAGGGAGCAAACAAACCAAACTATTGGGATCTACAGATGATTAGGATTCCCCTTTTACAAGTTAATAATGCAAATTATTAAAAAATCAAAGTGTTTTTAACAGTTTTCTAAGCCTAAAGCAGAACATTGCTTTTGCCTTAACTAAGGCTAGTAGGAGACCGAACGTAAGAAATTAGAAATAAGGTATAAAAAAAAGGGATAAATAGAAGTTAAAAGTAATAGATCAAAATGTAAGTTATTTGGAGCCCAAAACCAATGAAACAAAGTGGATGAGATTTAAAATAAAAGATAGAGCCAGAAGCCAATAAACTTTTGAAAATAAAAGTGAAGATTAATATTTTAATATGAGAGTTTAATTCATATATTTATTTTTAAATACGACCATCAATGCTATTTATAAAAGTAGTAAGTTGTCCAACAATAAGAAAACAATTGTAATGCTTCTATAAACTGGAAAAATGTGTAGGTATTTTTAAAAAATCATCTTTCTGGGGCGCGTGCGTGGCCCAGTTGGTTAAGCGTCTGCCTTCAGCTCAGATCATGATCCCAGGGCTCAGGTCATGGTCCCAGGGTCCTGGGATCAAGTCCCGCAGCAGGCTCCTTGCTCAGCGGGGAGCCTGCTTCTCCCTCTGCCCCTCCCCCCGCTTGTGCTCTCTCACTCTCTTTCTCTCTCTCTCGCTCACTGTCTCTCTCAAATAAATGAATAAAATCTTAGAAAAAAAAATCCACCACATCTAGTGTTTAAAAAAAAAATCATCTTTTTGAAGATTATTGAAAGACATTGGGGAAATATTTTTTTTTTTCCAAAGATTTTATTTATTTATTTGAGAGAGAGAGAGAATGAGAGATAGAGAGCACATGAGAGGGGGGAGGGTCAGAGGGAGAAGCAGACTCCCTGCCGAACAGGGAGCTCGACGCGGGACTTGATCCCGGGACTCCAGGATCCTGACCTGAGCCGAAGGCAGTCGCTTAACCGACTGAGCCACCCAGGCGCCCTGGGGAAATATTTATAATTAACAAAGTATATATATAGAAATTCTAATTTTTTTCTTTTTAAAAAAAGATTTATTTATTTTGAGAGAGAGTGGGGGGGATGGGCAACGGAAGAGGGAGGGAGAGAATCTCAAGCAGACTCCCCGCTGAGCATGGAGCACCCCCCACCCCTGACCGAGCCACTCAGGCTCCCCATGATTCTAATTTTTTTCTAAATTTATAAAAATATATACGTGTTTCCTCACATGAATGAAATACTGAAACCTGCTACAACTTGGATGAACATTGACATTGTGCAGAGTCCTGGGATCAAGCCCTGCATCGGGCTCCCTGCTCGGCAGGAGGCCTGCTTCTCCCTCTCCCACTCCTCCTGCTTGTGTTCCCTCTCTGCTGTGTCTCTCTCTGTCAAATAAATAAATAAAATCTTTAAAAAAATAAAATAAAACAAATAGAGTTGTTCAATCAGTGCTAATCCAAGTGTGATCTGTGAATAGGTATTTGTCCTTAAATAAAGGACATAAAGCTTGTAATGTGCAAAAGCTTGGTCTATACAAACCCTACTTGCTCCCCTGAGGGAGGCTGGAATGTCCTCTCACCTCTTTGCTGGGTTGGAATCACAAGGTCAACAGTCTCCCAGGAATAGATAGATCAGGTCAGCTTTAACACATTTCCTGGACATCTCAGACAGGTATGGAATCAGAGACCAATCTGCTTTTCATAGTCCTTGGATTTTCGTTTAAGGCTTTATTTATTTGACACACACACAGAGAGCACAACCAGGGGGAGCGACAGGCAGAGGAAGAGGGAGAAGCAGGCTCCCCTCTGAGCAGAGAGCCCGACATGGGGCTCCATCCCAGACACTCAACTGACTGAGCCACCCAGGTGCCCCCATAGTTCTTGGAATTTGAGCCTACTAACCACATAGCATGGGATAAGGCAGAAGATGCTCAAATACATGGCCAGAACATTCTCTGCCTGCAGCCCAGGTATGCCCTTCACAAACCAGAAGATTGAATGGGACCACTGGAATGATGACTCAGGGGTGGTTGACTCCTCAACTTGGAGTCTTTCAGCCTCATGAAGCCAGTAGCAGACTGCAAGTCAGAGGGACTTTAAAATGTGCCCCGGGATGGGTGTGCACACGGGTGTTACAGATATGGTAGTTGAAGCCAGGAATGTATTTACCTGATTTGAGGTGGTTATAATGTAATATTAACAGTACAATGCTTCTGACACTTTCTCAAAGATGTTTCAATTCTAGGTGAATAAATATTAGCTATAATGTTTTGCTAAATCTTTTGTAGTGAATTTGAGATTCCTCTGCTGAACTGTGGTGTTTGGGGATTGGTGCCCATTTCCTTAGTGAGAGAAGTGCTCTCCTGGTACCATCACCTCTGCCAAGGGCCATGTTTCCTGTTGTATAGCTCAGTGTTACTTGTTACATGAGAAACAATTGGGTGATGAATGGATAGCCCAAAAGTCTTATCAAGCTGTACTGACTTTGTGAGGTTTTATTTTTTAAAAAAAGATTTATTTATTTGAGAGACAGAGTGGAGGGAGGGGCCGAGGGAGAGGAAGAGAGAGTCCCAAGCAGACTCCCTGGTGAGTGCAAAGCCCGACATGGGGCTTGCTCTCACACCCCTGAGATCATGATCTGAGCCAAAACCAGGAGTTGGAAACCTAACTGACTGAGCCACCCAGGCGCCCTAATTTTGTGAGGTTTTAAATGGCTTCTGCATGAAAAGGTTAACTGTGGATCATGAAAAATGAAGGCTTTTCAGCAGAACAGCCTTCACTTATGTGGAAATTATATGTGCTAAAATATTAACTATTTCTCTTAGTGTTTAATATCATTTTTTCCTTCCTTCCTCTAGTAAAAATTGACAGGTTTTAGCCATTGTTATAGAAGAAAAACTGTTTCAATCCAGGAGCTCTGTGCAATAGCACAGCTTCCCGTTGAGAAGTGTCAGTATTTTCCACGTGGCCTTCTAAAATCTAAAATAAGACCTCCACGCTGCTCCACCAGCGATAGTAGGGGAAACAGCTACACTCATTTGATGAAAGAAAAAAAGGCATTCATTTCATTTCACTTGTCATTGGAGGCTAGAGTGGACCTATTTAATGCCCACCAAGCTCAGGACTTGGCGGACAGGTGCAATGGCTCTTATGTGAAGAAGTGAGGAGTCTTGTGTTGGAAATCAAGGACTCAGAAAGGGAGGCGGTATGATGCTGGTTACAGAGCAAGTTGGTCAGCAGTCTTGGATTGCAGGAGACACAAACCCCACTCAGACCAACTTAAGCCAGAAAGGAAAGGCGTCAGTTCACACAAGTTACAGCTTCCAGTCCACAGCGAAAAAACCAAGATTTCAAGCATGGTTAGATCAAGCAGAGTCATTTGTAATTTGTCTCTCTCTCTCTCAGCGCTGTTCTCTTCTTTGCCGGTAGTTTCTGCAAGTATCCTGACATTGAGACTGACTGAGCTGATTGGATCCCATACTGACTCCTGAACTGTGGACTGTTCTGACTGGCCAGACCTGGGTCCTGTGTGCTCCCCGGGTTTTCACATTCAGGCAGCTGTGATGTGTAAGGCCTCTCAATGTCTTTGTCTTGATCCTGTAATTCAGGGATCATGCTTTTGTTAGAGGACATCACGAAATTGCACGGATCAAAGCCTTAGGGAGGTGGCTGGGGATTCACATGAACCCTGTGCCCATCTGGAGCACAGCCAGCCACAGACCCTGCTTCCGGGACTGCCCACCTTTTGGCTACTACCCCCAGAGGAGCCTGAAGGCAGGAGTGGGGGACAGGGCAGAACTGCTCGCCCTAGGAGGAGTTGATATCTGACACCAGTGTGGCAGATGTGAGGAGCACTAGAAAAGTCCTCCTTGCTCCAAAGGGAACTCCCTGTCTGCTGGCTGATGCCTGAAATTCCACCCTGTCTTGCTTTTGCTTTTAGCTCTTGTTAAGATACAAATATCCTTGAGAGTGGAATAACTTTAAGTTTCTATCGGACATTCTTGGTTTGAAGGATTAGAAAGCAGGTTTTGATAACAGGAGGGATAATGTTTAGGATTCTGGGAGCCTGAGGTCAAGGAATAAATGGGGTGGGAGGTGGGAAATGACAAAGAATGTGAAAGCCCCTGCCACTCGCCCGCTGGCGTGCGGCTGGAGCTGGACGGGGCATGGGTTTGGGATGCAGGTAGGTGACATGGTGTGTCACTGAGCTGAAATGACAGCTTAGAGAAAGCAAGAAGGAAGGAAGCCTAGTGGATGGTGATGGCCTCATGTGAGAGCAGTGCAGGAGTAGGGAGGTAAAGGGCCGAGGCAGGGCTGGGGCATTCACAGTGGGGAGACAAACTGAGCAAGAGGCTGGAGATAGAAACAAGATTTCTGTGTGCCGGTGGTTTTCTTCTTCCAGTGCCTGCCACATACCAGGCCACTACAGATGGGTTCCCTTTCCTCTGTTGCACAAGTAATTGTTTTAAATTATGATACAAATACAAAATTTACCATTTTCACCATTTTTAAGTGTGCAGTTCAGTGGCTTAAGTACATTTATGTTGTTGTGCAACCAACACCAGCATCCATCTCCAGAACTTCTCCATCTTTCCAAACTGAAACTGTATCCATTAAACAATAGCTCACCATTTCCCGCCTCACCCTAGCACCTGGTAATCATGATTCTACTTTCTGTGTCTCTGAATTCGACTATTGCAGGTACTTGCTTCACTTAGCATCATGCCTTCCAGGTTCATCTCTGTGTAACATGTATCAGAATTTCATTCCCTTTTAAAGCTGAATAATATATCCCAACTTGAGTTGTTTCTACCTTTTGGCTCTTGTGAATAGTCCTACTGTGAACATGGGTGTACAAATATCTGTTCCAGTCCCTGCTTCACTTCTCTTGTGTATATACCCAGAACTGAGATTGCTGGATCATATGGAACTCTATATTTAATTTTTTTTAATATTTTTAAATTTAAATTCAATTAATTGACATATAATATTTGTTTCAGGAGTACAGATCTGTGATTGATCAGTCTTATATAATACCCAGTGCTCATTACAACACATATCCTCCCCAACATCCGTCACCCAGTTACCTCATCCTCCCACCCCCCTCCAGCAATCCTCAGTTTGTTTCCTAAGATTAAGAGTCTCTTATGTTTTGTCTCCCTCTCTGGTTTCATCTTGTTTCATTTTTTCCTCTCTTCCCCTATGATCCTCTGCCTTGTTTCTTAAATTCCACATATCAGTGAAATCGTATGATCATTGTCTTTCTCTGATTGACTTATTTCGCTTAGCATAACACCCTCTAGTTCCATCCACATCGTTGCAAATGGCAAGATTTCATCTTTTTATTTTTTGAAGATTTTATTTATTTATTTATTTGAGAGAGAGAGAATGAGAGATAGAGAGCACGAGAGGGAAGAGGGTCAGAGCAAGAAGCAGACTCCCTGCTGAGCAGGGAGCCCGATGCGGGACTCGATCCTGGGACTCCAGGATCACGACCTGAGCTGAAGGCAGTCACTTAACAAACTGAGCCACCCAGGCGCCCAGATTTCATCTTTTTGTTGGCTGTGTGATATACCATTATATATATTATATATATATATATATATAATATATAACACATCTTTATCCATTCATCTGTCAATGGGCATCTGGACTCTTTCCATCATTTGGCTATTGTGGACATTACTGCTATAAACATTGGGGTGCACGTGCCCCTTCAGATCACTACATTTGTATCTTTGGGGTAAATACCCAGTACTGAAATTGCTGGGTCATAGGGTAGCTCTATTTTCAGCTTTTTGAGGAACCTCCATACTGTTTTCTAGAGTGGCCACACCATTTTACATTCTCACCAACAATATACAAGGGTTCCAATTTCTCCACATTCTAACACTTGTTGTCTTCTTTTCTTTTCTTTTTTTAATAATGGCTGTATTAATGGGTATGAAGTGGTTATCCCATTGTAGTTTTGATTTGCTCCTTAATGATTAGTGATGCTGAGGATTTTTTCATGTACTTATTGTCCATTTGCATATCTTCTTTGGAAAAATGTCTATGCATTGTCCATTTTTGAATTGGGTTGTTTTTTTGTTGTTGAATTATAGGAGTTTTTTATTTATTCTGGATATTAATCCATTATCAGATATGTCATTTGCAAATACTTTCTCACCACTGAGTATGATATCAGCTGTGGGGTTTCTATATATAACCTTTATTATGGTGGGGTAGTTTCCTTCTATTCCTAGTTTATTTGGTGTTTTCATCATGGAAAGGATATTAAATTGCATCAAATACCTTTCCTGAATCAATTGAGATGATCATGTATTTTTCTCCTCTTCATTCTGTTAATGTGGCAGATTACGTTGATTTTTGTATGTTGACTCACCCTTGCATTCGTGGAATAAATTCCACTTTGTCATGGCATATAATCCTTTTAATATGCTGCTAAACTCAGTTTGCTAGCATTCTGTTGAGGACTTTTGCCTCAGTATTCATAAGGGATATCAGTCTTTTATATTTCTTTTTTTGTAGTGTCTTCAGGGTAATGCTGGCCTCATACAATGAGTTATGAAATGTTCCCTTTTCTTCAGTTGTTTGGAAGAGTTTGAAAAAGACTGGTTTGTTCTTTAAATGCTCGATAGAATTCCTCAGTGAAACCATCTGGTCCAGGTCTTTTTTTTTGTTTGGAGGTTTTGATTATTGATTCAGTCTCCTTCTTATAGTTCTAGTCAGATTTCCTAGAGCTTCATGATTCTGTCTTGATAGGTTTTGTGTTTCTAGGAATTTTTCCATTTCATCTGGGTTATTCAATTTGTCAGCATACAATTGTTCATAGTACTCTCTTAGGATATTTTTAATTTCTGTAGAATTGGTTGTAATTTCCCACCACGTATAATTTTTGAGCACACACCTGCATACAAAGCATATTTTGTTAGGCTCTGGAACCCACCTTTGAATATCATGGCATCACAGACTTACAGTCCAGTGCACTTAAAATGTGATTTAGGGACCAAAGTTGGAGAACCTTCCACTTTTCAGAATTATGTTAAATATATGATATTGATTCCTAAGTCACATTCAGTGAAGGAAAGCCCTTAAAATAGTCTTGTCAGCCTTTACTTATTGCTAAAGGTCTCTGGTCTCAGACTACATCTGGTAAACAGTCTTGGAGACAGGACCAAATAGCATCAGTGCACTCCAGTCCAGCACTACTCACGGCAAATACTTAAATTCAGGGTGGGGATGGGGCCCCTTTTCCCTTTTTATTCAGTATAATATCCACACAGTAGATGACACAAGGCACACTAATCTTAAGGATACAGTTTGATGGGTTTTTACATATGTCTAGACCTGTGTAACCAACAGTAGATCTAAAATATTCCCATCTCCCAGAAAAATCCTTTATGTGTACGTGAGACATGGGAAGATTTGGGCTCTTAAAGTCTCAATCTGGCAGCAGTGTAGAGTAAGGAGAGTGAGATGGGCTCTGAGTCTTCATCTGGGAGCCTTGCTGGAGGAAACATCCATGAATTCTGCTCACTCTGCTAGGAGTGGCTCAGATGTTCACATGTTCTAAACAATTAGGCATGGCCTGAGCCCTCCAACAAGCTCCACTTGTGCTACCACACACGCACACACATACACACCGCACCTGCTACACACACCCATCCATTCAACATTTATGCGATTTGTAGGTCCTGAGTTGGTGGAGTATCCAAAGATTAAAAAGCCACAGTCCTTGCCCTTCTGAAGGGGAGCCAGTGTGGCTACAGCCCAGAGACTCCTAGAACTCATTTTACAATTTTTTAGAAGTGGTTGGCAGCAGCTGCCATATTCCTGTACCTTTCTTTGCTTCTCAGAAGACCCTAGCTCTTCCCTCCCCCTTCTTGTTATGGGCATCACTTACTCACCTGAAATTAGGTTGGGGGTGGGGTCATCTTGATCTTGGTCATCTTGCTCTGCTCCTGCTTCCTCAGCCATGGCTTCTAGAGCTGCCAGTTTGCGTATTTGTCCAGGAAGTGGGTCCAGTGATGTGGTATTAGAAGGATATGGGCTATTTAGCTTGGAGAGCATCCATTAGGGGGTGAGTTGATTACTATAGGGAGGGATTTTATAAGAAGGAAGTGGGACTGATTGTTCATTGTCTGTGAAAGAAGCAGTAAAGAAACAGGCTCAGGTTAAGAAAGGAAAGCTGGTGCTTGGAGAGCAGGAAGAATACCCTTGTCCAAAGAGTGCCAGGATGGTGTCCCATGGCCTCCACCCCAGCCCTCTGAGAGGAGAGGACAGTGAAACGGCAGCCCAGAGGACAGCTTCTTAGTTCTCCTAACTCCAGGTGACAGGCAGGGTTGGGCTGGCACTCTGGTCCTTCTAACTGAACCATTCCATGATTCTATGATGTCACTGAAGAGAGAAGAATGGGGAGCTGGGCTTGGCTCCAGCTGCTCCAATTCCTATCCTCTGGATTCTGATAGTTTTTGGGGTGAGGGGAGGTGAGCTGTGTGATCACACGTGTCCCAGCTCAGTCTCCCCTCTAACCACCTCAGCCCCCACCACATTTATGGAGAGAAGTTAGCCAGTGTGAGTCAACTTCATCGAAACAAGCACAGCATCTTTTATGAAGCTGATCAAAAGAACAACAGTGAAAATAGCCTTTTATTCTTCTGTTTCTAGAAAACTTAAAGAACAAGAGAACTACATTCAAACTAAGCTGGAAAAGAATATTTGTACAATCTGTGATTGTGCGAGTGGACGATTCTTCTAGCTAACCCTATGAGCTTTGAAACCACAGCAATCACTTTCTTCATCCTTCTTCTAATTTGCTTCATTTGCATCCTCCTTTTATTGGTGGTTTTTTTATATAAATGGTATAAATCCATGCTGATAAATTGGGATCAGATTTCAAGTCACACTAGCAAATATATCTAGAAATAATATAAATCAATTTAAAATAGAGCAAATAATGCTATAGCTATTTACTTTTTCCATTTCAGAATTTTAGAAATTCTAATTTCCTATTTAAAAGTGAAGTTCCATGCCAAGTAAATCAAGACCATTCTTTTTTTTTTTCTCTGAATTTTTGCTTATTTGTTTTCAGTTTCCAAAGCAAGAAAGATGAAGAGACAGAAAAAAGTCCTTGTACAGAGGCTAATGGAGGTGAAGATTGTTTAGCTGCTAATGCGGAGACAAACAATTCAGCAGACCAAGAAAAGTAAGTCTGTATTGTAGAATGTGATAGAAAGCCATTTTGGGGTATGATAATGGTGGGTGACATGCATGAATTTTAAAAATCCTGCTGATTACGTAGGACTATCCTAACACCAATCACGGACTTAAATGCACCCATGAGGCCTGGCATTCTTGTCCAGAGACGGAGTAAAGAAGACACACCCTTAGAAAACAAAGAGAACATAGAAGAGGAGGAGGACAAAACAAAAGAGAAGCAAGAGCCTAAAAATGCTGGAGGAAATGAAGAGGAGCTCGCCTTATCTCCTCCCAAGGACCAGGTCAGAATCTGTTTGATTGAAAAGGAGGTAAATTATTTGGCTAGTTACAATGAGATGGTCTTGCCTGAAACTTAAGTTTGTACCTGGAAGGAGCACGAAGTCTGCAGTCATCTAAACCATTCTTCTTAGTTCATCAGTTCATGTTATTAAACCAGTCATGTATGCCAATCTAGACACTTGCTCATTCTTCACTCTTATATTTGTGTTGATCTTAATAATCCCCCTTCATTTTGCTTTTCTCAGAATCCTAGGATCTTAGAGCTGGCAGAGTCCTTGGAGATCATCTAGGGATCCAGCCCTCTCATGTTACAAATGAGAAAATGAGATGAATTGTTCAAGGTCATTCCTCCACTGTGGCCAAGCTCAGGACCAGAGCCCATGTCCCTGTTCTGGTTCCAGGCTGTACAACAGCACACAAACATTGCCCGGGCCTTCTTGAGCTCCCTGTCAGCACTCTCTGATAGGAACAGTTCACGTCTTCCCTCAACACAAGGCCCACACCCAGAGGCAGAACGATGGTTCAGGGGCCCATTTCTAACCATAGAGATATGAAAATGAGATCATGATGGATTATCACTGCTTTCCTGTATCATTTAGAAACACTTCTTCTGTTTCTCACTAACAATGCTTCTATATTGAATTTAAAATATAAACTAAATTAAAAATATAACATTTTTTAAAGCAGGACTTGTTGCCTTCATAAATTGATCTTTTATACTGTTTGTTCCATTCTCTTACAGGATGAAGATTTGCAAAAACCACCCACACCTCTCACTAGAACTCCTTCGGGTGTTGAAAACCACAAAAGACCTTTAAAAGGAGTGACATTTTCTAGGGAGGTAATTGTTGTGGACCTTGGGAAGGAATACCCGATACCTCGAAGCTATACTCGAGAACATAAAGAGAGAAAATGAGCTCAGAAAAGGCTGAGAGTGAAAGAAATGTAAGCTTAGACTAACAATGAAATGACTGGGGGTACAAGATCATGTTGAAACAGCAAAATATGGGGAATTAAGCAAATACAAATAGTATTTTACCTTTGTGCAGAAAGAAGTGAGCTACATGCAAAATTCTGTAAGTAAAATACCCAGAGCTTGAACATAGTTTTTTTTTAAATTCAAATCTGAGTTCAAGAAATTGATTGTATTAAGTGTCCTTAAAACACTGTCTACTCAAACACTGTTCTAACATGTGAATAAAATTATTTGTGTTTGTGCAGATGTCTGTTAGGTAAATCATATTTAAGGGGAACTTTGGAGATAGCAAATGTTTCTTTTAATTCATGTTTTTTTAATTTAAATTCAATTAATTAACATATATTATTAGTTTCAGAGGTAGAGGTCAGTGATTCATCAGTATTATGTAATACCCAGTGTTCACTACATAATGTGCCCTCCTTACTGTCCATCACCTAGTTACCCCATCCTCCTGCCCATCCCCTCCAGCAACTCTCAGTTTGTTTCCTATGAAAAAGGGTTTCTTACGGTTTTTTCTCCCTCTCTGATTTTGTCTTGTTTTATTTTTTCTCTCTTCCCCTATAATCCTCTGTTTTGTTTCTTAAATTCCACATATGAGTGAGATCATATGACAATTGTCTTTCTCTGATTGACTTATTTCGCTCAGCATAATACCCTCTAGTTCCATCCACGTGTTGCAAATGGCAAGATTTCATTTATTGATGGCTGCATAATATTCCATTGTATATATATACCACATCTTCTTTATCCATTCATCTGTCGATGGACATCTGGGCTCTTTCCACAGTTTGGCTATTGTGGACATTGCTGCTATAAATATTGGGGTGCAGGTGCCCCTTTGGATCACTACATTTGTATCTTTGGGGTAAATATGCAGTAGTGCAATTGCTGGGTGGTAGGGTAGTTCTATTTTCAACTTTTTGAGGAACCTCCATACTGTTTCCCAGAGTGGCTGTACCACTTGCATTCCCACCAACAGTGTAAGAGGGTTCCCTTTCTCTGCATCCTCGCCACCATCTGTCATTTCCTGACTGGTAAATTTTAGCCATTCTGACTGGTGTGAAATGGTATCTCATTGTAGTTTTGATTTGTATTTCCCTGATGCTGAGTGATGTTGAGCATTTTTTTTCATATGTCTGTTAGCCATTTGTATGTCTTCTTCGGAGAAATGTCTGTTTGTGTTTTATGCCCATTTCTTGATTGGGTTATTTGTTCTTTGGGTGTTGAGTTTGATAAGTTCTTTATACGTTTGGATACTAGCCCTTTATCTGATAAGACATTTGCAAATATCTTTTCCCATTCTGTTGGTTGTCTTTTGGTTTTGTTGACTGTTTCCTTTGCTGTGCAAAAGCTTTTTATCTTGATGAAGTCCCAATAGTTCATTTTTGCCCTTGCTTCCCTTGCCTTTGGAGATGTGTCTAGCCAGAAGTTGCTTATGCTGAGGTCAAAGAGGTTACTACCTGTGTTCTTCTCTAGGATTTTGATGGATTCCTATCTCACATTTAAGTCTTTCATCCATTTTGAGTCTATTTTTGTGTATAGTGTAAGGAAATGGTCCAGTTTCATTCTTCTGCATGTGGCTGTCCAAT